TACTTATATAGCGCCATCAATTTATGCAGCACTTTACATATATATTGTACATTCACATTAGTCCCTAACCCTCAAGGGGCGTACAATCTAAGGTCCCTAACTTACATTCATACATACTAGGGCAAATTTAGACAGGATCCAATTAACCTTCCAGCATGTCTTTGGAGTGTGGGAGAAAACCGGAGTACCCGGAGGAAACCCACGCAGGGACAGGGAGAACATGCAAACTCCAGGCAGGTGGTGCTGTGGCTGGGATTTGAACCAAGGACTCCTAGTACTGCCAGGCAGAATTGCTAACCTTTGGTCCACTGTGCTGCTCTTGCATTAATGTTTGCTCTCTCCAGACTGGGACCTTACTTGTACTGTGGGTAGAGATAACTCTGCCCACAGTACAGTCTCTCTTCCAGTGCTGGGTGCTGGAACACGGGCACCGTTGTAGTACCTGGCACCCTGCTGCCATTTTGCAATCTGACTGATGCCCGATAGCACACAGGCCACATGTTGGGCACCAGGGCTCTAGGTGGTATCAGAAGGGGAGAGAGTTCCCACCCACCAAACACTGCAGCTGCACACAGACAAGTGACAGACAAAGCTTTGTGGTCACCTGACCATATAGAATAATATAAAAAAATACATTTACATTGCAAATCATTAGAAAATGTATATTGGGCAATAGGAAGGCACCATTTAAAAGTTGGTTTATAGTTTTGGCTTTGATTCATCCAAAAACCATTTCATTCCAGTTATTTGTGCTACTTAGAGTCCATTTATAAAACAACCTCCCTAACTTTAGCAATGGAAACAATACACTTCACACTGAAGCTGGAGGTTCATTCGGCTGGACACCCATTTGTTTGGCTGTTCACAAAGGAATCTCCATAGACTGTACACAGTGCTGAGGTCTCCCTTACATTATTTCCCCTGCTGGTCAAATGTTCATAGCCTATAGTGCTAAGGCTATTTTCTCTATTGGTGAATGTTGACTTTCATGGTCAAATTTCTATTCAAATGTCTATTTCTAGCATCAACTGTTGGGGAATGTTACATTCTTCCAGCGAAAGGCACCAAAGAAACTATTGCACACATATTATAAAAAATACAGGAATTGTTATGTTTGCATAAATGATTAAACATTCTCAAAGTGGATTTTTTTTTATAAACAAGCCCCTTGAAGTTTCTGGAAACCCTCACCTTGTAAAACAACCCATTCGGTTTAACCACTGCTTGACAACGCTATAGCTGTAAAATGGCTACAGCACGGCTCTCCAGTTGTGGGAGAATGTCCATGGATGTCTGACCAGAACTGTGCCTTCTGCGAGCCTCCTGGGGTGTGCATCAGGTGCGCTCTGTGAAGCTATGTCTTTTGAACACAGCTGATCGCAGGTCACGATAAAGGGCCAATAACAACAGCCCTTTACCATGTGATCAGCTGTGTCCAATCACAGCTGGTCACATGTAAACAGACTTGCTGGTTATCGGCAGTCCTTTCCTCACATGCTGTCTCTGTGTGAGGAAAGAAGAGCCGATAATCTGAAAGGCTGACAGTATATTGTTTACACTGATGATCAGGGCACTTATCAGTACTGCCTTATCAGTGACCATCAGTGTAGATCAGTGCAGTTTATCAATGCTGATTACCTATCAGTGTCAATCAGTGCTGCCTCATCGGTGCCTCCTCATCAGTGCCCATCAATGCAGATTATCAGTTCCCATCAGTGCAGATTATTAGTGCGCATCAGTGCCTCCTCGTTAGTGCCCATTAGTGCCTCCTCATCAGTGCCCATCAGTGCAGATTATCAGTTCCCATCAGTGCAGATTATCAGTGCCCATCAGTGCAGATTATTAGTGCCACCCCAGAAGTGCCCATCAGTGCTGCCCCATCAGTGCCGCCCCATCAGAGCCCAACAGTGCCTCCTCATCAGTGCCCATCAGTGCAGATTATCAGTGCCTGCTCATCAGTGCCTATCAGTGCAGCCTCATCAGCGCGATGAAGAAAAATTACTTTTTTGCTAAATTTTATAGCAGAAACTAAGAAATACATTGTTTTCAATATTTTCAGCCTCTTCTTGTTTGTTTAGGAAAAAATAAAAAAACCCAGTGATGATTAAATACCTCCAAAAGAAAGTTCTATCTGTCTCAAAAAATGATAACAATTTCATATGGGTACAGTGTTGCATGACCATGCAATTATCATTCAAAGTGCGACAGCTGAAAGCTGAAAATTAGCCTGGGCAGGAAGGGGGAGAAGGTGCCCAGTATAGAAGTGGAAGGCAAAATATTTGTGTATAAATATCTTTTTGACCCTTGTTTATAAGTGATCACATTCTCTCTCTTCGCAGCTACATAAGGAGCTGGCGGAGGAGAAATGGCTGAACACTGGTCTTCCCAGTGAAAGGCTGCCAGGGGGGAAAGGGGGGTTGTGAGCAAAAGTCTGCTCATTGAAGGAGGAGGAGTTCCAGCACAGCTAGAAAACTGACCACACTGAGCTCTCCTGCCTAGTTTGGTCAGTTTTTAATAGGAAAGTAGAGGGAATGGCAGGAACACCAGGGATTTCACACAAAGGAAGCAATACAAAGAGAACAGGATACATTTCATACATACAAGTACATGGTACAGCAGGCTCATAGCAGGAATATGAAATGTTGGGTTTCCATCTTCCACTATTCTGCAACTACAAGCCCCAATGAAGGGGGACTAGTGACCCCCCAAAACATTAAGAGCAAGGTAAATAAGAAGAAAGAAAAAGGGGGTTCTCCGGAAGGGTGAGGGAAGGGTTAGCTTTAAAAATCAGACTTGCCCGGAGATGGACTTTCAGTGGTTTTGTAGGGACCCAACAGTTAGTGTGCCCATTTTTTGCATTGTCCTAGAGTGTTTCTTTAGCTGTGTTTCTCTCTATTAATGGAACATGTTAGGATTATTTTATACCTTAAACAATATCCTTTTTTTGAACCAATGCAGAGAAAATACTTTCATGTGAAGGCACTTGAAGCATATTGAGGATCCCGTAGCGTGACAGTTATGTAACAGTTTGTTTAAATATTTGATTTTACAAGATCGTTAGGGGATTTAAGTGATGTACCCAGCAGAAGGGCCACGTGACATGTTTAAACTCATTGCTATGGTTACCCTTCTTTTTTCATTCAAACGCAGTTTGGATAGAATCTTAAAGTGTGTCCATTATGTCATACTACATTAGCCATTCTGGTCATGCAGTGCGTTATAATAAATCATTTGTTTCTCACACACTCGACTCCTGCTTCAATCTCCATGTCATCATTAGACAAGTGATGGCAAAGTGTACCTGTCACCTGGACACACACAAAAAGAAGCAGTTTTGCCAGCTGAGCTAATATACTCACAAGTGCACTTTTCTTAAGAGTGAAACATATACAGCGGATAAAAGAAGTATTGAATACATAGTTAGTCTGGCTGAAAAAAGACAAAAGTCCATCCAGTTCAACCATTAACCACTAGCCTACAGGGCACTTATACCCCCTTCCTGCCCAGGCCAGTTTTCAAGTTTCAGCGCTGTCGCACTTTGAATGACAATTGCACGGTCATGCAACACTGTACCCATATGAAATTTTTTTTTTATTCCATAAAAGTTTATTTAGAAGTGACAACATGTTACAGGAAAATATAAAGAAATACACACACAGCATCAATCAGGCCATAGACACAGCTTAAACCAAAATACAAGACAAAACAACATGGTAGAGTGCGACACTGTGAAAAACATAAGCATGTCAAGGTACGGCAGAGATAGGCCTGTAGTACTCAAGTTACACAAATGTACAATATAGAAGGTAATCACAGCTTACTTCCAACAATTGAGTATTGGCGTACTGGCCTATGCATGGAGGAAATGAACCTTCGGAGTCTAAACCAAAAGCAGTACGCTATCATAAGGCTAATTGAGCATCGCAGTATAAGAGAAGATGTCGTGAGTACCATTGACTACCCTAGAGGAGATAAGCTAACCATATACCAAGTATTCCTGAATGAGACGAAGACTAAGCCTGATCGAAGACTGAGAGCTTGTCGAGAAAGAAAAAAAGAAAAAAAAGAATAGAAAGAAAAGGACAAGAAAAGGAAAAGAATGGGAGTCATAGTAGAGAGAGAGGAGAGAAAGAGGAAGAAAGAAAAAAAAAAAAAAAAAAAAAAAAAAAAGAGGGGGGGGGGGGGAAAGGGGGGGGGGGGGGGGGGGGGGGGAGAGGGAGAAGGGGGGATAAGAGGCAAGAAAAAAAACAAAAAAAAAAAAAAAAAAAAAAAAAAAGGGGGGGGGCGAAGCAAGGGAAGCGAAAGGTCTGGGCTGCGAAGTTTGTGTCAATATAGCTATTGGAAATCATAAATGAGAGTGTCAAGAACTTAAACACTCACCAAAGCTAAGCAGGCAAATATAAATTATCGGAAAGGAGGTCATAACCACGCAGATTATGAACGAACCAAGGGCATAACCAGAGGTATGGCTGAGCTCAATCAGGTATCCCGACCCATGAGAGATCTGAATTCAGGGGTAGTAACAAAGTGGGTCCAGCAGGCCCAAACATGTGAGTATTTAGTTGGCATGTCAAGTGCAGTCGCAATCAGTTCCTCCATTTCCGCCACTCTGCCTACTCGATTGAGCCAATCGCGTATAGTTGGGGGGTGAGTGGAGCCCCACAGCACAGGAAGACAGAGTCTGGCTGCGTTGATCATATGCATAGCTAGGGACTTGAAATATTGACTCCTAGGAATGGGGGTATGATGAAGCAATAGCTGAGCAGGAGAGAAAACTATGGGCAGAGTGGTCACTGAAGCCATATGAAATTTTTATCATTTTTTTGAGACAGATAGAGCTTTATTTTGGTGGGATTTAATCACCTTTGGGTTTTTTATTTTTTGCTAAACAAACCAAAAACAACTGAAAATTTAAAAAAAAAAAAAGTTTTTTCATAGTTTTTGTTATAACATTTTGTAAATAAGTGATTTTTCTCCTTCGCAGATTCCGCTAATGAGGCTGCAGTGATGGGCACTGATAGGCTGCACTGATGGGCACTGATAGGTGGCACTGATGAGGAGGCACTAGTAGGTGGCACTGATAGGCATTGACAGGCATCACTGATGGGCACTGAAAGGCAGCACTCATATATGGCACTGATAGGTGGCACTGACTGGCACTGATAGGCAGCACCGACTGGCACTGTTAGGTGACACTGACTGGCACTGATAGGTGGCACTGATTGGCAGCACTGATAGGTGGCACTGACTGGCATTGATAGGTGACACTGACTGGCACTGATAAGTGAGACTGAAAGGCAGCTCAGATGGCCACTGATATGTGGCATTGATGTGGACTGGTAGGCACTGATATGTGGCATTGATGTGGACTGGTAGGCACTGATTTGTAGCATTGATGTGGCACTGATTGGCACTGGCAGGTGGCATTGATGGGCACTGACAGGTGGCACTGCTGGGGCTACACTGATCATCAGGGCACACTGATGATCAGTGTACATGTACATGTCCCCTCCGAAGAATGCTGATTACCAGCTCTCCTCTCCTCTCGAGCTGTCAGCGTGACAGCTCGTGAGGAGAGGAATGCCGATAACCAGCATTCCCCTATTTACATGCGATCAGCTGTGATTGGAAACAGCTGATCACATGATGGAGCTGACATCTTCGGCTCTTTCCATTGATCGGTGATCCGCTGTGTCCCAGGGGCACAGTGCACCACCGATCGCTCCCAGAGTGCGCATGCGCGGTTAGAGTGGGAGGACGTCATACGACATCCACCCAGAACGAGAAAACCGTCATTACCTTATATGGCGGGCGGGAGGTGGTTAAAAAAAAAAAGTTATAATCCTATACCCACGTCACCATTTTTCTCAGTAAATATATTTCTAAAGGTGCTATTAACATGAAATTTCATCACATATCGGTAACAACCCATGCAATCTATACATATAAAGAAACCAAAACAAATAAGTTCAGCAATTAAGTTATGTGTAATAAAATGAAATGACACAGGGAAAAAGTATTGAACACGCTAACTGAAATGTATTTAACACTTCATACAAAATCCTTTATTGGTAATAACAGCTTTAAGACACCTCCAGGGGCGGACTGACAACTCATGGGGCCCCTGGGCAATATGGAATCATGGGGCCCCTGTGTCCTTGCCCAAACTCAAAAAAGCCTATGAAAAAGGTACCAGGGGCATCTCATGGGGCCCCCTACTGATCCCGGGCCCTCGTGCAGTGCCTGAGTTTCCAAATGGTCAGTATGTTTGGGATCATTGTCTTGCTGAAATGTGCACCCTTGTTTTATCTTCATCATCCTGGTAGATGGCAGCAGATTTTTATCAAGAATTTCTTGGTACATTTTTCCATTCATCCTTCCTTCATCGGCATGAAGTTTGCCAGTACCGTATGCTGAAAGACAGACCCACACCATGATGTTCCCACCTCTAAACTTCACTGTTGGTATGGTGTTTTTGGGGTGATGTGCAATGGTGGTTTTGGGGTGATATGCAGTGCCATTTGACCTCCAAACATGGTGTGTATTATGGCATCCAAAGAGTTCAATTTTGGTCCCATCTGAGTAGACTATATTCTTCCAGTATTTCACAGTATTGTCTAAATGTTGTGCAGCAAACTTTAAACGAGCTTCAACATGCTTTTTCTTCAGCAATGGACTCTTGTGTGGTGAGTGTGTGGCCATGGGATGAGGGCCTTACTTATTGTTTTATTTGAAACAGTTGTATCTGCTAATTCCAGGTCTTTCTGAAGCTCTTGAGAGAGTTCCTTGCATTTACCCATCATGAGATGTTTCTCATGTGACACCTTGGTAATGAGATACATTTTTATAGGCCATCAGTTAACCCCCTGGGTCACATCAAGCCCAACTATGAAATCATCCAACTTACAGTGAAGTCACACGATTTTAAAGTCAGGTGAAATGCCGATTTCAGGTGCGATTTGCAAGACATCTGACACAGATGTCTATGCAAATCGCACCCTAAGTAGTACATGTACTACTTTAGAAATCAGTGCAGCTCCAACCAAGTCAGAACCGCACCGATTTGACTGGTCTAATTGCACACAATAGGGTGCGACTTGGCATACGATTTGCACATCGCACGGCATGCAAATCACATGCCAAGTCGCACCCAATGTGACCGGGGCGTTATGCAGGCCATAGATGGGGAGAAAACCGGCCGATTTTTCTTTAAAAAAATGAAAAATCAGTTGTTCAAGCGGCCGACGTTACCAGCAACGGTAAAAAAAAACGGCCAATTTTCATCCCGTCTACAGCCGGCAAAAAGTGTCCCTGCAGAGAGCTCGCTATTTCTTTAACAGTTCCTTGACATTTATAGCGGTTGCAACAATGTATTTGTATCCATTTAGGATACAGATGTTTTTATTCGGAAACAAATAGATACATTGTTGTAACCGCTGTAAATGTCAAGGAACTGTCAAAGAAATAGCGGAGCTCTCTGCAGGAACACTTTTTGCCAGACTGGAATTCCTCTTCTTTTTCATCCTCTTCTTCTTCTTCATCCTCTTCTTCTTCTTCATCCTCTTCTTCATCTTCTTCATCCTCTTCTTCCTCTTCTTCATCTTCCTCTTCTTTATCCTCTTCTTCTTCATCCTCTTCTTCTTCTGCCTCTTCTACTTCTTCTTCTTCATCCTCTTCCTCTTCTTCTTCCTCTTCTTCTTCCTCTTCTTCATCCTCTTCTTCTTCTTCATCCTCTTCTTCTTCCTCTTCTTCTTCTTCATTCTCTTCTTCATCCTCTTCTTCTTCTTCATCCTCTTCTTCTTCCTATTCTTCTTCTTCCTCCTCTTCTTCTTCTTCATCCTCTTCTTCATCCTCTTCTTCATCCTCTTCTTCTTCCTCTTCATCTTCTTCTTCCTCTTCCTCTTGTTCTTCTTCTTGTTCTTCTTCTTCTTTATCCTCTTCTTCTTTTTTCTTCTTCTTTTTGTCTTCCTCTTGCAGGTCACTGCTCATGCACAGATTTTTTTATCGGTAAAAAGATCGGCCGATTTGCCCATTCATTGCCGCGAAAATCGGCCGATCAGCAAAATCGGCCAATTTTTTTCCAACTTTACCGATAAAAAAAAATCTGCCAAAATACCGAAAAACGGCCGAACAATTAGCCCACTAATGATCCGAAAATCGGCCGATTTTATTTTCGGGCCGAAAAATCGGCTGATTTTCGACCCATCTATGGCCTGCATTAGACTGAACCAGCTAATATTAATTTGCACTGACAAGGGGCAGGATTTCTTTGTAATTACTGATAGATTTCATCTGGTGTCTTGGCTTTCTATGCCTTTTTGCATCCCCCTTTCTTCATGTGTTCAATACTTTTCCCTGTGTCATTCCATTTTATTACACATAACTTAATTTCTAAATTTATTTGTTTTGGTTTCTTTGTATGTAAGAATTGCACGGGTTGTTACCGACATGTGGTGAACATTTCATGTCAATAGCACCTTTAGAAATATATTTACTGAGAAAAATGGTGACGAGTTCAATACTTATTTCACCTGCTGTATCTGCAATGGGAGAAATAACGACTGCCTATGAGGAAGATCGGAGATATTAAAGTGGCTGTAAACCCTTCCATATACCAAGTGAACTGACTGGCTTCAGGTGATACACATAGATGGAACAAATCCCCCCTACATAAGTTGTACCTGATTATCTGTGTCTTCTTTTCTCTACAGCTGATCAATGTCCAGAATTTTTACTGCTTTTTCTGAGCTTTCAGAAAGCAGGGGGTGTGGAGATGAAACTACACACTGCAGAGCTCAGTGAGGGAGCTCTTAGAGCTGATTAGAGTTAAGCCCCCCCCCCCCCCCCCCCCCTGCACACAGCACACAGGAGCAGGGCTGAGGCTATCAATCATAAGCTGTGTGCTGGAGGTCCCTCCCTGTCTCCTTTTTTCTCTTGGTTTCATCAGAAGTGGCTTATGCATGAAGAAGCAAACACAGATTACACTTGTGCTCTTAATTGTGCAAAGTACACACTATAGAGGGATATGCTTTCTCCATATTTCAAGGCTGAGGTTTACAACCACTTTAAATTGCACACGCAAGGACAAGAAAATGTAAGATGCCATCAATGAACCATTTTTAAAGATGCAAGCAAGTGTTTCTAAATGCATACTGTAGAGTGCAGAGGTTAGGAGTGTGTCATATAGAGCCCAGCATCTAGAGGGAAGGGGTCAGGAATATGTAAAGCACAGAATGCAGGGGTCAGGAGTGTGTAATGCACAGAGTACAGAGGTCAGGAGTATGTATTGCACAGAGTGCAGGGGTCAGGAGTATGCAATGCAGAGAGTGCAGGAGTACGGAGTATGTAAAGCACAGAGTACAGGGGTCAGGAGTGTGTATTGCACAAAGTGCAGGGGTCAGGAGGATGTAATGCAGAGTGTGCAGAGATCAGGAGTGTGTAATGCACAGAGTGCAGGGGTCAGCCATGCATAACACAGAGCACAAGTGTATGTAATGCACAAAGTGCGGGGGTTAGGAGTGTGTACAACACAGAGTGCAGATGTCGGGAGTATGTTACGCACAGAGCACATGGGTCAGGTGTATGTAATGCTCAAAGTGCAGGGGTTAGGAGTGTGTAAAACAGAGTGCAGGTGTCAGGAGTGTGTAATGCACAGAGCACAGGGGTCAGGTGTGTGTAATGAACAAATTGAAGGGTTAGGAGTGTGTAAAACACAGAGTGCAGATGTCAGGAGTGTGTAATGCACAGACCACGGGGGTCAGGTGTCTGTAATGAACAAAGTGCAGGGGTTATGAGTGTGTAAAACAGAGCGCAGGTGTCAGGAGTGTGTAATGCACAGAGCACAGGGGTCAGGTGTCTGTAATGAACAAGGTGCAGGGGTTAGGAGTGTGTAAAACACAGTACACAGAGGTCAGCCATGCATAATACACAGAGCACAGGGGTGAGGAGTGCATAATGGATAAGTTAGTTCAATAAAAATCAAGCCCAAATTCCCCCCACCCAGAATTCAGCATTATGTTATTGGTGAACACTTGTGTCTTATATGTCTTACATACTTGTTACATGTGTTGGAGACTCCAGCAATGAGATCTTGCTGCGAGTCCCTAGTTCTCACCTCCTACCCACTTCCATTGTGGTCTTACTCTTCCGTCGACTGCAGGAAAAGTCTTAGTGCTCCAGTTGCTTTATATATAATTCCAAAATTAAAATGTGACTCTCTTATAATAGATTCAACAGGTGAGCTCAAGAAAATTCCCCATTATGGCCACTAGATAGAGCTGACAATCATAGGGAATAAACACATTGGACAAAATACAGGGATTATTTGTGACAACTATGCATATGGTTATGGCGCTCACACAGCATTTTTTTTTTATAAGTCTCTGACAGATAGAAGAAACTGCTGAGAGATTCAAAGTGCCATCTAACCATTAATGAAATATCCATTTTGCGCAGATTGGCCCTT